TCTGTAATTCATTACAAATAAGGTGTGTCGGAGTCAGAATGTGAGACTGTCGGATTAACGGGTCTAAATAGCACTGATTTATTTGGTCCCATCATTTGTGTCGGATAAAGCCGATTGTCGGATTAACGAGTGTCAGATTAACGAGACTTGACTGTAATTGCTTTCATCCGTAAATTACAAACCAATATAAAAAAACAGTCAGATGAAACACCTTGTCTGCAACATATCCAGTGAACAATCTGACCTCTCCTATGACTTACCCTGGACCTACCCCATGTAACAGATAATTGCTTGACCATTAGGAATAAACTCTGTTAACGTTTGCCATGGTGCAATGAACATCAAGCACAAATTGCACCATATTTATAGTCATTTACTGACTACATGTCACTAAGATTACTAAAAACAATGAATAACATTGTGTACTAAAACTGAACTGCAGCTCACTGGACATGATGAGTGAAGTATCTGTAAGAGCTTGATCCCTCTAATACTACACCCTAATACACTCAGCAACTGTGTTTGATCTAAGTACCATTCAGACCGACAAATGTTCACCCAGACAGTACAGATAACCCCTTTCTATCCTGGGCAAGTGAGGTATAGCTGTTAGAATCAATTTTAAGGCATGTGGTATTTTTATCTGTTTTTATCGATAGCTCTTGAACAGATAGATACGAAGTTCAGATAGCATTATCTACATAACAGTTGAAGGTTATCATGCTGCCTTGAGAAACTGTCCCTTCATCATTATTACAGTTTTAAGTGTGTGAGCTTTTTCAGTTCCAAGTTCTTTGTTAAAATATATTTTGGAAACTTCATCATGATGATAAATACCTATGATGAATTTCAGCACATTTGGGGCTGACAGTGATGCTTTGAACTCACATGAAAGTCCTTCTAGACATTGCTATTCACTCATTTTGGAGGTTTTGTGGATGGAAATGGACAAAAACACATGGCATATATTTTAATCTACCATAGCAAGGTTAGCTTCAAACTTTATCAAAATGCTTCAGAAGACTATTGGCACTGCAAAAGTTTGAAGAGAAAATTCAGTTGGATACTAACTTACACACAAGAGGTGAACAGTCTAAGCATCAGACCACCTACCACCAACACAACATGGCTGCCATCAGAAAAAGCTATAGAAGCCAGGTGTTCCCCCAGGAGAATGTGTTATCCATAGAGACACCTGTCAGGTGTCGTTAGCTTCTCAGCAGATAACCCTTATTCTGCCAAGGGTTTCTCACACATCAGAATAAAATACTCCTGTGCATTTCGCAAGGAATGCTGCTATCCAAAATGATTTGGGTTAGTAATAAAACTGTCATCAGTTCATCAGCAGTCACTAGCCCATGGTCAGCGAAATGCCAATGTCCACTGGACAATTCACAGGTCTCATCTTACTACAAACAGCTGAACTCTAGCTTCATGGTGCTGATTAGCCTTGCTCTAAGTCTGTACTGAATGATACATCGGTGGATGTATAGTCATTCCATCCTTATATTGGGCAAGTCTAGATCAGCTGACAGTATGCAGGTCTTTTACAGGGACCATGTCTTCGTATTATTTCTATGATCTTGGAATTATTATTTAAAGTAAGACTTGTGTGAGTCTAGATGCTGATCTGCCCCATGAATCGTCTTTGTTAAAAGTCAACAAGTACAAAACATATAAAGAGAAGTCACATGTAACCCATACACACTAAAAGGGATAGACATTAATTCAGCTCGTGTTCTTACTTTCTTAAATTTAGAAACTTTTAAATTTAGAAAAATGCAAGATGTGGTTGCATCACATCTGACTGTCAATTGCCATGCATGCACTTTTCCTTACACATATTTTCAAAAGATATTGAAAAACACTGAAAATTAATTAAAAAGGGGGGAGATCCCCCTGCAACAATGTAATTTTTGTGGCAGACGATTTTGTTTCCAAGTCTGATTCTTTTCTAGGACAATTTGTTATTTTCAAGAAATCTCAGGCAAAACAACACCCCAAATATCCTATTGTCTGTCCCTAATCCCTCTACAGATTTTATTTTTCTCATGATGACGTTGTGTACCTATTGCAGCCTCATCACTGCAGCCTACGGACAACCAGCTCACTGTAGTAACACGTCTGTAACCATAGCAGTGTTCTACAGTTGTGACGAGGGAGCTCTGCTACCTCTGCTAGTGTCGTACTGTTGTACTGGAGAACCACTGTTGTTGTACCATTGTTGTTTTGTTGTTTAACGCCACACTCAGCAATATTCCAGCTATATGCCTGTGGTCTGTAAACAATCGAGTCTTGACCAGACAATCCAGTGAATGATATCATGAGCATCAATCTACGCAATTGGGATATGATGACATGTATCAACCAAGTCAGGAAGCCTGACCACCAGATCCCATTAGTCGCCTAGAACGACAAGCATAGTAGCCTTTTACGGCAAGCATGGGTTGCTGAAGACATATTTTAACCCGATCTTCACGGGTCTATTGTTGAACAGGAGCATACCTACTGTTGTACTCGAGAACCACTATTGTTGTACTGGAAAAACACCACAAATGTCTTTTCAACAAACTCAAGCCTACGCTTCATCCTGACATGCTCAGAGCAATGATAATTCCCAACTGGAAACATCAAAACTAAAATGCATACACAATCAATATCAAGATAATCCTCCTAATATTATTTTGTTGCATGTGTGTCTGCACACAACCTAGACACTGTCTATGAAAATAAATTATTTCTGACCATTCTGTTCACAAAGCCATCAAAATTGCATTTCTTTAAATCAAGCTCCCTATAACCAGCCGTTTAGGCACCAATGTTCATGCCCCCAAAGTGTTTCCTTCATGTGATACAGCATTCTTACAACCCAACTGGACAGGTCTGCGGAGACATGTGGCTCGTGGCTGAGAGACAGCAGGAAGCAAGGCACTACCTAATATGCTGATAACGATTTCTACTAAGCTGTCAAGAGTAAGTATCAGTCATCAAAATCTTTATTATATCCTGTCGGTGTAATGGATGAGGTAATCCATTCTGTGTGATGTCGTGTTTTTTTCTATTATCCTTTCATAAAGCCGGACATCAAACGGTGTACGATGGAGTGATTTTTCATCACCATGATTGAGCAACAAACATTATGTACAATTATGATAGAGAAACACAATTTCCAAACATGTTATCGCCTCCCAAATCACATCAAATGAAACAATTTATACTCAGATCCTAGGTATATTGTCTGAAAATATGAATGAGAAACTGCTTATTCAGCAAAAGCTAGTTATCCTTGTGTTTGCAGAAGGAGGGGGATGGGTGAAGAGGGAGGTGGTGTTTGTGTGTTTTCTCGCCATACTAACTGCCTGGGTTTATTTCCCCTACTGGGAAATCATGTAAATGTTTTGCCATTTCCATTAGGCTCCGAGATAACAGGAGGTGTTTGCGGCTACTCGTGAAAGCAGGACTGTTTAACAACGGTATAAGGATCTGTACCGAAACGTCAACTTTACAGTAATTAAAGAAGTTGATATCCATAAATTGTATCCACTTTGTCATCCGTCAACTTCTAAGTAATGCCTATCAAACACAGGAGAACCCCCTTCACAGCCATATCCTCCAAGATCACAAAATGTTATCATGCCAAGCACTTCCAAACCGAACACATCACTCGTTGACTTGAACCTTAATCAACACCACTTCTTAAGATCCAGTCTCAGGACAGTAGAAGTGCAACAGTAACTGGCAATGAATGATGCAACCATGCTTCATAATAACCTCAAAAAACGACCTTGACCTTTGACAGACTGGTCACAAACATTGCATGGGGTAGGATTTCTAAAGATATATGGAAGCATAATGTTTCATGATGTAGAAGCAACAATGACTCGAAACTGATAAAACATGAAAGTTGACATATAGTACGACTTATTTTGACCCAAACCTTTCCAAAGCATCCTCAAACAGGTACAAATTGAGTCTAGTGACAAATACATTAATACTTTTTGAGAAAGTATATACATAAACGTATTAGGGAGATATTTCTATCTCATGTCCTTGACCTTCTCATACCATATGACAAAAGAATTCCCTGAGAAATAAGTCCCTTATAGGATATCCTCCGATGTCAATAATCTTCAAGAGAAAGTATGATACATTGCACATTTACCTAAGAGATGACCTTGACCTTTGACATATGCAATTGACATGTGACATGGTGGGATTTGGAAAGAAGGTTGTACATATTAAAGTTCCTCCTTAGAGGGAAGCATGTCTCAGCAACTGACAATGACATAATCATATTTTACAAAATCATGAAAGCTGACTTGGACCTGTTACTAATTTAAACCAAAACCATTTCATAAATGGACTAACCTTGAGAAGTTTAATAACAAATGCTTCAATACTTTTTGAGAAAGTGTAACCACAAACCAACTTTTTCTGCCTCGTGACCTTGACCTGGATATAGAATCTGTAAATAATAACAGTGTATGGGGGAAATGCCCTAAGTCATAAGACAGATAGGGATGTTCATGTCATTTCCCAAATGAAGCAATGGTAGTGAATGTGTAGTTGGTTGGTTGGTTTGTTGTTTAACGCCGCACTCAGCAATATTCCAGCTATATGACGGCGGTCTGTAAATAATCCAGTCTGGACCACACAATCCAGTGATTGATATCATGAGCATCGATCCACGCAATTAGGATCGATGACATGCATCAACCAAGTCAGCGAGCCTGACCACCCGATCCCGTTAGTCGCCTTTTACGACAAGCATAGTCCCCTTTTAGGGCAAGCATGGGTTGCTGAAGACCTATTCTACCCCGGAATCTTCACGGGTCGAAACAATGGTAGTGAATGTGTCCTGGGTATATATCATAATAGAATGGAGACATTATACATTGGCTATTCCGGGATGGCACTGTTATTGCATTAATATTGCCAAAACAGTGTAAAACCCTAGTCACTCACTCACTCACTCATTCAAGGCCAGCATCTGTACTCACACAAAGAAGAACCTGGTGCAGACATGGTCCATGCTCGGACACACCCAAATGTCATTGTTCTTTTTCAGGTTGGATGACGTCAACACTGCAATAAAAAACAAAATGTAATCATCATGTTTGAAAGTTTGACAATAAATTTTAATCCTTAATCACCATCACAGATTGAAGACCTCACACTTCTACTGGCATTAACAAAACTGAATCCTATTGTGTTCCTAATCCAGGGATCCAGAAATATGTTTTTGCCAATTGGACATTTGCATTTTGGTCACGCCCACCTCATATCTTTCACTCTCATAACATATATACATGATATATATACAATTTATTAACAATCCAACAACACATAGATCTAATATATACAATGTCAACCTATTGGGATGTTGGTTTTGCTAACTTGGCTATTGAACAGTTTCCACTGTTTAACTGTCTGTTGCGTCTAGCTTTCCAGCATTGCATCATCAGTGTTGAGTTAAAGTCTGTCAATTTTGGTTCACAAAGCCATGAGTAAGTCTGTCCAGTGTTTAGGACCTAAACATCATATTAATTATTCAAATTCATAGACCTTTCAGTTTCTTAAGAAAAGTTCCTTAGGCTTTTTCAAAAATTTACATTTTGTTGATTTAATTTATTTCTGAGTCCTGTTATTGTGATAGACCTCCTTCTGAGGTCTCAGAATCATCCCTGCAGCCGTGACGGAGTAGAAGTCAAAAGTTGACAAACAGACGACAACCAGACAACAGATAATAACCTGCCATAACCTCATTTGGAACTTTGGTTCAGCAAGACTAAAATTTACACTTTTAAAAAGGACAAAATGTCAATTAAATGCTGAAAATAAATATAAGTACAGCAGACTCTGTCTAAGCCTGCATCACATGGGACCAGCTCTGAGTTTGTCAATTTCAAAAGAAAACATCAAAAACATTAAAGAAAAAACAACCTTGTACCACATTTCTTATGGTGTTCAATTCACATCTGTCACCTGCATATTGTATATCTTTAATTCAGGGGTCATTTTAGTGAAAAGTTCTTGATTTTGGCTTGTGATTTTCTGGAATGCTTCTAAAGTGCACATGATTAACTTCAAACAGTGCAACTCAACATCACAAAGAGTTAATACATGGCTTTCTCAGCTTTCGCGATGACAGGTCCCCAATGATCTTGTTTTCCCAACTGACAGTCTAATTATATACAGTAATCCCCTCAAGCTGGCAATCATCTCGTCAGAAAACAATGCCGGTATATAAAGAGGAATTGGAGATTAGGACCAATATTCAGTGCTGGTGTCCTGAATAGACCGATGCCAGAGTACTAGCATCTTCCCGAGACAAGAGAATTAACTGACTTAAAAAGTCCAGTGTCCACCCTTGCTGAACTAGGCTGGTATTATGGAGTTATATTTTGGCTGGACTAACAAGTCTATGCATAGTCCAATCAAAATCACGTAACGAAATCCGGTTCGTAAACTGTTGTGCAGATTTCGGTCGATTGCAAGATTTGCAAACATGTGTACTGCCAACTGAAGGCCAACAGATATTTTCAAAATCTTTTCATGTTTTTAATCAATGTGCTCACATGATTTGATGCACTCTGTGATGTAAGACCCGTTTTAGCACAATAATGATCTTTATTATTGATCAGATCGTCTTGACTGGGTGTCGCCATTTTGTTTGAAGCAAATGTAAGTGATATAAGAGGCGGAATCTGATTGGTCAGTAGGAGAGGCATAGAAGGGAAACGACTCGTAATAACCACTGGTGGCGCTACGATCGAGCCAAGAAATTCCAGCTTAGTTCAGCAAGGGTGGAAACTGGACTTTTATAGTCAGTTAACACCCTTGCCTCGGGAAGATGGATTACTAGTGATGTTTTAACTAAGTATTGCCAAGCTCTGAAATGAATGCTGGTTAATTGAGAGCCCCAGAGCATGCAGATGCGGGTTTCGACAGAGTCCACCTAAGAAAAGATGGTGCTGTAATAATTTTTACAATTTGAATAATATCATTTCTAATTTATGAAAACATAATCATTTTTGTTAATGCTATGAACAAACCCAGTCACATTATCATGACTACTGTCCTACATAAGTTCATAAAGCATTGCCACTGCTTCTCAAAGTCTAAATTTTGAGGAATTTTACCTATTCTTCAAACAAGAAAACTCTTCTTCTAAATGTCATGAACAAGCCCCAAAATATTTCCACACATGATATAAGGAGTCACTAGGTCTTGTAGTTTCAAAGAAGAAGATTAATGGCCTGAATAAATCTGAGATCCCCCCAACAAAGATTCAGCTTCATCATTGTCAGTTCAGAGAAGTTGAAAAGTTTAACAGACAGGTGAAGGACATACCTTCATAAGCTAACCTTTAATGTTTTTTTAAGTCCCTTGACTCATTTCCTACAAAAATAGCATCAGTATCTGATATTAATACCAACCTTCACACAGCGCCACGCACGTAATGTTATCACTCATGAGGAAGCGTGTCTTGGACTGAAACAGAAAAAATTAGACTTCATGACATGTCCCTGGAATGCCGTGACCCAGTGACCCCTCTGACAAAGGCTTTAGCCTGATGACCCTGCCACCAATGTTAATTACCGATGTCACAGTCTAGTGACCCCTTGCATACCAATGCCATTTTACTACGACCAGTTTAACCTCCGCGTACAGGAACTAATTCCCATACTGATTAATAAGGCATAAGAACTAGGTCAATATTAGAACAGGAAAAGCCTAATCAATATCGGAAATAGAACACGAGCTTAAAGTTGAGACCAGGCGAAATGGGGTTAAACGTTGCATTCAAGATACAGTGACATGCATGCATACACGTGCGTGCATGTGTGGTAGTAAGGAAGTATGCCAGTTTTATAGTTCTAACCCACTGAGATACCATGCCGCAGTTGAACAAGGACACCCCACTCAGACACAGTATACTGACTCCGAGCCCACCCGTCTTTATTTGTGTCCTTAATGCTGAGTGACAGGCAGGATAACAACAAGTACTTTTTGTCAACGACTATAGGTATGATGCGTCCAGGAATCGAACCACGGACCTTCCACTCTCCGGTCAGATGCTCTATCCACTATATCACTGTCCTCATCAGGCTATTACCTCTGATAGTCTATTTGTAGGACATGTGGAATGAGTTACCATCCCAAGTTGGTTGGTTGGTTTGTTGTTTAACGCCGCACTCAGCAATATTCCAGCTATAAGACGGCGGTCTGTAAATAATCGAGTCTGGACCAGACAATCCAGTGATTGACATCATGAGCATCGATCCACGCAATTGATCCCGTTAGTCGCCTCTTACGACAAGCATAGTCGCCTTTTACAGCATGCATGGGTTGCTGAAGACCTATTCTACCCCGGATCTTACCATCCCAAGTGAATTAATCTGTACAATACTCTCTACACTGTTAAAAATTAAGCATGCAAGTCAAGGGTTAATGATGACACCAATGTCAACAGATTTAGAGGGTCCATAGATTCAAGTACAGCCAACCTTATGAATCGATATGCTTCAATGCTGTTGTGCTGTGTTTTATAACAGTAATTCTCAATTATACATTCAATATGCTAGAAACACTGATCTCCTACATAAAGATATTCCACTTTATTTCAAAACTGAGACAGTTCCACAGAACAACTTGTGCAATGAAAAAATCATTTTGTCCCAACTGGGTCTAATTGGAGAGTTTAAACAAACAGCTATCAGCTAATTTGATAAGATAAACATTTAAATTCAAAGGCAAAGGAGATATTCTCAATTACAAACACCATACAAAGAACACTGCTATGTGTTATACTTCTATCTCAACCAGAGTAAGCTACAGATCTAATATATCTGTCAAAATGTTTTGTACATTAATCTGTTACCATAAAATTGCATAAGCTATGCTTTTTTGGGTACATACAAATACATTTAATCACATTGAAACATGGAAATGGATTTGAATAATGCCAATGTACAAACAATTCATGTGAGTTGAGAAAATTATTTTTTTCCGGGAGAGGGAAAAATGAATAATTCTTCCAAAACTATGGAGGTGCTTACATTACATGCAACAGCAGAAGCAGAAGAGACTCATCCCAAACTTTTCCTGAGTGTCCCCAAACATTTCCTGAATGTCCCCAAACCTTTCCTGAATGTCCCCAAACTTTTCCTGAATGTCCCCAAACTTTTCCTGAATGTCCCCAAACGTTTCCTGAGTGTCCCCAAACGTTTCCCGAATGTCCCCAAACGTTTCCTGAGTGTCCCTAAACTTTCCCACCATGTATCACCAAGATCATCAACCATTTTGACTCCACCAATCATGCAGGGAACAGCCAACTCAAAAACATTTTTCTGTACTTATCATTGATTGCAAGTGCTGTCTAAAGCTTTTTGTTTGTTTGTTTGTTGTTTAAAATCACACTCAGCAATATTCCAGCTATATGACGACGGTCTGTAAATAATCGAATTTAGACCAGACAATCTAGTGACTGACATCATGAGCATCGATCTATGCAATTGGGATGTAATGACAAGCATCAAACAAGTCAGCAAGACTGACCACCCGATCCCGTTAGTCAATTCTTACGACGAGCATAGTTACCTTTTACGGCAAGCATGGCTTGATGAAGATCTATTCTCCCCCGGATCTTCACGGGTATGTCGGAAGCTACCTAGTACCTTAATCATGTTAATAGCTAAATTATTACCACTTCTTGTTTGGAAACATCAATGACAAATGCAGTACAACAATGACATGCATCAACCAAGTCAGCAAGGCTCACCACCAGATCCCGTTAGTCGCCTCTTACGACAAGCATAGTCGCCTTTTACAGCATGCATGGGTTGCTGAAGACCTATTCTACCCCGGATCTTACCATCCCAAGTGAATTAATCTGTACAATACTCTCTACACTGTTAAAAATTAAGCATGCAAGTCAAGGGTTAATGATGACACCAATGTCAACAGATTTAGAGGGTCCATAGATTCAAGTACAGCCAACCTTATGAATCGATATGCTTCAATGCTGTTGTGCTGTGTTTTATAACAGTAATTCTCAATTATACATTCAATATGCTAGAAACACTGATCTCCTACATAAAGATATTCCACTTTATTTCAAAACTGAGACAGTTCCACAGAACAACTTGTGCAATGAAAAAATCATTTTGTCCCAACTGGGTCTAATTGGAGAGTTTAAACAAACAGCTATCAGCTAATTTGATAAGATAAACATTTAAATTCAAAGGCAAAGGAGATATTCTCAATTACAAACACCATACAAAGAACACTGCTATGTGTTATACTTCTATCTCAACCAGAGTAAGCTACAGATCTAATATATCTGTCAAAATGTTTTGTACATTAATCTGTTACCATAAAATTGCATAAGCTATGCTTTTTTGGGTACATACAAATACATTTAATCACATTGAAACATGGAAATGGATTTGAATAATGCCAATGTACAAACAATTCATGTGAGTTGAGAAAATTATTTTTTTCCGGGAGAGGGAAAAATGAATAATTCTTCCAAAACTATGGAGGTGCTTACATTACATGCAACAGCAGAAGCAGAAGAGACTCATCCCAAACTTTTCCTGAGTGTCCCCAAACATTTCCTGAATGTCCCCAAACCTTTCCTGAATGTCCCCAAACTTTTCCTGAATGTCTCCAAACTTTTCCTGAATGTCCCCAAACGTTTCCTGAGTGTCCCCAAACGTTTCCCGAATGTCCCCAAACGTTTCCTGAGTGTCCCTAAACTTTCCCACCATGTATCACCAAGATCATCAACCATTTTGACTCCACCAATCATGCAGGGAACAGCCAACTCAAAAACATTTTTCTGTACTTATCATTGATTGCAAGTGCTGTCTAAAGCTTTTTGTTTGTTTGTTTGTTGTTTAAAATCACACTCAGCAATATTCCAGCTATATGACGACGGTCTGTAAATAATCGAATTTAGACCAGACAATCTAGTGACTGACATCATGAGCATCGATCTATGCAATTGGGATGTAATGACAAGCATCAAACAAGTCAGCAAGACTGACCACCCGATCCCGTTAGTCAATTCTTACGACGAGCATAGTTACCTTTTACGGCAAGCATGGCTTGATGAAGATCTATTCTCCCCCGGATCTTCACGGGTATGTCGGAAGCTACCTAGTACCTTAATCATGTTAATAGCTAAATTATTACCACTTCTTGTTTGGAAACATCAATGACAAATGCAGTACAACTTTAGAGCTAAAGGTTCTATGCATATAGCTGCCATAACAAAGTTAAAAACTTTGAAAAGAATTTATTAAAATGATTAAATACGAATTAATGAGAAGTCATAAGCAGTTCCCGTCTAAAGATTCTGACCTTCAGTCTTCGCTGTAGTTTGGAAGTATATACATATGACCTATACACTTGACAAGTATAGAAGAAAGTACTTGTCGGGTTATTGATCATTGAAAAATAATCCGTATTAACATGAATTCAAATATAATATTTCATAATTTGGAATGGAATGTCATTGATAATCTTCTAACAAAACACTCTAGTGGTCATAATATAAATGCTCAAGATATTGTGTACATAAAGATTTTGGGATATCTACTTAACCTTGACCATCAATGTCATCCAATCACATGCTATAACATTATTTGTTGCAAATTTACAATGACGTGGTGTTACAAATGTAAGGTATCATACTGACAATATTTTCTGCTGAAAACTTTCTACATGTCATTTCATGAGTGAATACCTTTAATACTATCTGACATAACAATCATGACATATGACAAGTGATATGATATGATATGATAAGTGTTCAGTAATTTACTTGGAGCTTGTTTTAACTCAAAGGAAAACATTTTGATTTTTCATGAATTCATCCGAAATATCATAAAATTTGAAACATTTTTCATAAAGTGACCTCTTGTGACCTTGACCTTACACTGATCACCAAAAAGTTGAGGCTTTCGAGACCCTGACCTAAAGATTGTGTATACCAATTTTAATCAAACTTCCATAATACTATAGTATACAATATACACGAACATTATTATACCTAGTTCATACCAAGTGACCGTGACTTTTAATTGATCCAACTATAGGTCAGAAAAATGTTCAAGACATAAATAGGAAATACATCCTGTATGAACTCTCTGACATCTGCCTGCAGCACATGGTTGGGAAAACTAACTGCAGTTGCAGCGTCAGAGGTCAAATTGAGCAAACACATTAAGCAGCTCCAATTACAGGGGTGTAACTAATAACTCTCAATACAATTCTCAATATTTTCAAGGTAAAAAACTCAACCGATATCTTAAAAATAATTTATGTGCAAATAAAGTCAAAACCTATTGCAATATATTTGTCATTAAGTTAGCTTTTATTGCACTTTGAATAGTTTTTCAGTTATACGAATGGTGACAGCTGAAAGGAAAGCTCCTTGCGGACTTTTACCACTTTGGAGAAACACATGAGCATGGGTATTGTGC